TCTCACCTCTGCAACACTTCCGACTGCAAGCCTTCCCCGCTTCCGGGCCCCCTCTCCCCCACTGCCCCCCCCCCTCACCTGAGTGGGCAGATTCCTGCCACAGCCTCTCCTGACTTCCTGCTCTATTCTCCTCTGTCGGCCAGCTCACCAACCTGCCACGGTGGCCATTTCAACTGTAAGTCATAGCATGTCCCTTCTCTGCTCAGTCTTCCAATACCTCCTCATTTTTGTCTACTAACTCCAAAGTCCCCCTCTGGTTTATTAAGATACTAGAGGCCCGATGTACGAAAATTCATGCAAGAGTAGGCCTTCCTTCCCCTGGCTGTGGGCACCACTTCCCTCTGGCACCCGAGACCATAGCTGATTCCCTCCAGCCCCTGCTTCAACAGGAAAGACATCAGGAATGATGTGCAGAAGACACCCAGTCTAATTAGCATATTACCCTTTTATTATTATAGCCTAGAGGCCCAGTGCACGAAATTCATGCACATGGAAGGGGAGGTGTCCTCCAGCTCAGCCTGTACCCCATAGGATTGGGCCTAAATGGTCAGTTGGACATCCCTCTCACAATCCAGGACTGCTGGCTCTCAACTGCTTGCATGCCTGCCTTCCTGATTGCCCCTAACCACTTCTGCCTGCCAGCCTGATCACCCCCTAGCCATTCCCCTGCCAGCCTAATTGATGTCTAACTGCTTTCCTGCCAGCCTGATTGCCCCTAACTGCCCTCCCCTGCAGGCCTGAGTACCCCTCCCCCCCCTTCAACTGCCCTTCCCTGCAGGCCCAGTTGCTCCCCACTTCCCTCCTCTCCTGGCCTGATCACCCTTAGATCCCCTCTCCTGCAGGCTTGATCAGCCACAACCGCCCTTCCTTGCAGGGCTGGTCCCTCCTAACTGCCCTCCCCTGTTGGCCATCTTGTGGCAGCCATCTTTTGTCCACATGGGGGCAGCCATCCTGTGTGTTGGAGTGATGCTCAATTTGCATATTACTCTTTTATTAGATAGGATAGATTATTGGCATAAAACATTGTGTAAGTTTAAAGAGTTCGACATTATCATTTGATACTCACATATTTTGCAAAACTATTAACACAATGAGGTTAATTAATACCTCCATCACCTCACATAATTACCTCTTTGTGTGTGTGGTGAGCACATTTAAGATCTCCTCTCTTCCTAACATTCACATATGTAACAAAGGACTTACTGATCCCCAGAAACTATTCATGTCACATTAGCCAATTGTGCCCTTTGACCAACATCACCGCACTCCTCCCCTCCCCAAACCCTGACTGACAACTTCCATTCTCTCTAGACAATGAGTTTCACTTCAATGGATTCTATCTCTGGGATCCCATACAGTATCTTTCTCTGCTCTGTCTTAATTCACTTAGCATGATGCCCTCAAGGCCCATCCATATTTCATAGATGGCAGTATTTCCTTCTTTTTAAATCCTCACCCGAGGACATTTTTTTTTTATTTTTTTTTTTTTTTTACTGATTTTAGAGAGAGAGGACCAGAGGATAAGAGGGAAACTTTGGTCTAAGAAGCATTGATTGGTTGCCTCCCATAGTGCCCTGATTAGGGATCGAACACACCACCCTTTGGGCTGTGGGACAATGCTGCCATCCACTGAGCCACCAGCCAGGCCCTTTCTTTTTACTGTATGAAATTCCACTGTACACACACCACAGTTCCTCCCCGTCAGTCGGTGGACCCTCAGGCTGTCTCCCTGTCTTGGCTGTGGTGACTGGTGTTGCCGTGAGCACGGAGGTGCTGCTGTCTCAGGATAGTGACTTCATTTCCTTCGCACACGTGCCCAGGAGAGTGCTGTTTCCCCGTGGCTGCACCAAATTACACCACCCACAGTGCACAGGTCTCCTTTCGCCACCTATTTACCAACTCTCATCTCTCCCCTGCTTGATAACAGCCGTTCTAACAGGTGTGGGTGTTATTTCACTGTGGTTTGATTTTCATTCTTCGCCAGATTGGCGATGCTGTGGACATGCCTGTTTGGGTCCTCTGTCTATTTTTACTGGATTGTTGTTGTTTTGTTATTAATGTTATATATTAAAAGTATATAATTAGGCCTAGCTGGTTTGGCTCAGTGGGTAGAGCATTGGCCTGGGGACTAAAGAATCCTGAGTTCAATTCCAGCCAAGGTCATATGCCCAGATTGTAGGCTCAACCCCCAGTAGGGGGTGTGCAGGAGACAACTGATCAATGATTCTCTCTCATCGTTGATGTTTCTCTCTCTCTCTCTCTCTCTCTCTCTCTCTCTCTCTCTCTCTCTCTCTCTCCTTTTCCTTACCTCTCTGAAATCAATAAAAGTATTTTTTTAAACCCAGCCTTAAATATAAAAAGGAATGAATGAAACAACGATTTCCTTTAATTTTTTATTGAAATATAACACACATATAAGACAAACAATTTCAACTCACTCTGGATCTTCAATGCACTCTTTACTAGATCTTATGAGTCTATCACGTGGAATGTAACCTTTTGGGTACATCACATTCAATTATGTGACTATAAGTTTTCATCCAAACATACAAAAAATCGTTTAATGAATAGCAAAGGATTGTTGTCTCAGTGAGGTGTAGCCACTGGATTCCTCTGTTGTTGTCAGTCAAACTATTTAAATAATTCTGGTTCTTGCAATCCCAGACAACTTCTTTCAAACATGCCACAAATTTTAAAGTGTAACGAAGGCCCTGGCCTGTGTGCTAACTGATTAGAGGGTCGACCCTCTCACTGAAGGATTCAGGTTCGATTCCTGGACTAGGGCATGTACCTGAGTTGCGGGTTCTATCCCTTGCACCCCAGGGTGTGTGCAGAAGGCAACCAATCAATATGGCTCTCTCATATCGATGTTTCTGTTTCTTAAATTACTTCTTTCAATGGAATTGAATCCACTAACCCACAGGGGTCCAGTGCAGACGAATTAAACACCTCCAGTCAATTCATCCCACGTCATGCACACTGCTTGGCTGAAATCCCTCGGCGTCCCGGACACCACCCTGGAGGACGTAAGGCTAACCAGACGTGCAGAGCTGTGCCTTCCGTCTCGGATCATCACCATCTCAGAGCACCTCTGGGGTCTGGGAGACCCATGGAGACACATGCACAGTCCCGTCAGGAGTCCGTTCTCAGCTCCTGTGGCACTGCTGCTCCGCCTCACCAAGCACATGTGTCCCTCTTGGTGTGTGTTTCAGACCAACACTGACAGGGTCGTGGCCAGAGATGATGAGAAGGGAGGGACCCACCTTCCACCAGGAGGCAGCCCTTCCATGGCCTCCACTCCCGTCCACTGGCTGGATCATGTAAGGGAGCTGCCCTCTGAGACCATCCACCAGATCCTTACATGGCCGAGGGCTGGACCACAGCTGGTCCTCTCTCCTTTCAGGCCCTCGAGGACTGTGGTCCTCACTGTGGGTGGCAGGCGGCCGTACAGGCACATTGCCAGCCGCCGGACACAGGGCCACAAGCATGAGCCAACCAGCAGCTTAGTAACCACACAGCGCAGCAGCCGATGAAAGCCTCACTGCGGATGGGATGGCACTGGAGAAAGGCTGCAGGTGACAGGCAGGGTGCTCAGAGCAGAGGCATACCCTGGGCGAGGGCCCAGTGACAGCGGCGCTGCAGGAAGCACAGAGGCAGCGAGAGCATCGTCCACTGGGAAGAGCATGATGGCCACGGTTCCTGTACCTTCCCGCCCGAGGCCGGCCTTCGCTGCCCTGACAGAAAAGCACTGACTTTGTACTTCCTTCCTGGGAGGACAGATGGAACAGTGAGAGTGCAAACATGCAGAGGCCCAGCACCCAGAGAGGGACCGTCCATGGGGACCAGTGACGCGGGGTTTCCCCTGGTTCCGTGGAGAGAACTCCATGAGAAAGACGGGCTGGAAGGAGTCTAGAACTATTGCCACGTCATAGAGTCACAGGGATCCTGGGGAGAGGACCGTTCAAGCTGGAGCCTAAGAGGAGGACTAACCTTCCCTCTGACAGGGGGTCTCAGAATCAGAGCATCTGAAGTAATCTGAAAAGTAACCACATTATTTTAAAGCTTAGATCACATGTCCTTATGTGACTAGGGCAGTAGTCGGCAAACTCATTAGTCAACAGAGCCAAACATCAACAGTACAACGATGGAAATTTCTTTTGAGAGCCACATTTCTTAAACCTTAACTTCTTCTAACACCACTTCTTCAAAATTGGCTTGCCCAGGCCATGGTATTTTGTGGAAGAGCCACACTCAAGGGACCAAAGAGCCACATGTGGCTCGTGAGCCGCAGTTTGCCGACCACGGGGTTAGGGGGTTAAGATTTTCTTAAGTTTCCTTTGCAAGGCCTGTGTGATGCGATTAAGGAGGTGACACAGCTCTGAGTCCAGCAAACAGAACCGATAAGCAATGGTCAGGCTGACCCAGCAGGAGTCAAAACCTGATCCCATCAACATCCTCCCATCAACATCCTCCCATCAACACCCTCTCATCCCCTGGTGACTAAGGACCAATAGCCGACCTCTGTCCCCTGCCTCAGCCTAACCCTTCCCCATTATAACCCCGTCCCCTGCACCTTTGGGTAAGACAGGACTTGATGCTTGTAAGCGCCCTGTCTCCTTGTTGGCTGATCTTCTCAGTAAGCACTTATGTGCTCCAACCCTGCCTTTGAATTGGACACAGCGACAGGCAGCCTGAGCCCGCCCAGTGTTCCCAGTAACACATCCCCAGTAAACACCTCTCCACACCTCCTAGCATGCTACCATCCAAAGGAGATCCCGTAGGACCCAAATGGATCATGTCACCCACCCACATACGCAATGAATGACTGTGGGACGCCTCCCATAATAAATATTTATTCATCAAAGCAGCTGAAGGAATAGGAAAACACAAAGAGTAAAAATTCAAGACAACAACTTCAGAAAAAGTGCTATAATTTAATCAGTCCTTTGAGGGCTTGCAAGGAGTCACCAGCCTCTGGCTCGATGGGATGAGGCCACTACCTCGCCTGGGTCACAGCCGTCCTGGTGGGCTGCTGGGCCCCCGTGGGCTTGGTCTGGTTCACGTTCATCCTCCTGGACTTGTCCACAGTCTGCACCGCCTTCTTCACCCAGTTGGCATGTGGGTCGGCACAGACTTTAAGGCCACGTTTGGTAATGAATCTGCGATGTGAGGAAAAGGCAGACAAAGTGAGCCGCGTCCCACAGCCCGGGCCCGGAGTTCAGATCCGACCGGCTCTCAGAGCTCTTATAGAAACTCCAGGGTGGAACAAGTGTTTGGACCCTGAGAGCACACATGCAAAGCTTTCTCCTACAACCTGTTTTAACACCCAGGAGACGTGTCTCCAGGTGATCCTGTAACCCCAGGCACCTCTCTCAGCAGAGCCCCTTGGGGCCTGTGACAGCAACTGGTCCAGTGACCACATCCCAGCCCCTTCCTTTTCAAACGTAAGGCACTCATCCCATTTTCTGCACAAAAGCTGCTCTCTTTCTCTTAGTTTCTCTGAGCAGCGTTGTAGTTACTATACATTGGGAAGAGCTGCTATTCTGAAAATGAGGTCCCGGGGCAATGCGGGCCAGTTTGGTACACATTGTGGGGGGACATGGCCACTGGCCACATGGCACCCACGGTCCCTCACTCCACATAAAAGGGAGGGGCCCGGAGGATTCCATCGGAGTGCAGCTCAAACTCTCTGAACTTGACCCTCCGCACTGAGCAGTGTCCTCCGGTGCTGCTCAGGCTCCTGCTGAAACTGCCTCGGAGAGGAGGAGGACGGTCCCCCTCTGGTGGCCGCACTTTGGTGACAGCCACTCTGTGGGCTGCGCAGGGCAGGGTGACCGTGGGGAAACCCAGGGGCGGCTGGCGGAGGGGAGGTCTCCGCCCACAAGGACCTGCTTCCCTGCGGAGGATGTCCACAGCCTGGCCACCCAGCCCGGCCCGGGGACACTCACATGACTGCCTTCATGGGCCCCTCCTTGATGGTGTAGGTCTTGATTCTGTTCATGGGCAGCTGCCGGGTAGTCAGGCTCACACAGATCCGCTGATCCACGACCTCACTCCCCACACCTGGTGAAGAAGCCAGCAGAGATGCCATGTAACTGCGATGGTACAGCGTTACCATGTTGCCAAGGAAACAACGGAGAGTGGTTTGTCACAGATACGGAGGAGGGCTCCATTCAATACGCGGCGACAGCTTGGCGAGACGTGGCCATGGGAAGGAAGTGGTTCAGGAAGCATCTTCCTCAGTGGCCCGGCCCACGGGGAGCTGATAGTTCATTTAGGAACCCCCTTCCCTGGCGGAGGGAGGGGCTGGGAGAGTGAGTGACATTCCGGTTTGGGGAACTCTCACCCCATTTCCAGGTGCTGCTTTCTCCTCAGCTGAAGGGCCTGGTGTGTTGCCCAGAGAACTATTCAGCTGCAAAGAACCTTAAGTAACAGCTGGGGCTTTCATTTTTAAATATATTTGTGTTGATTCAGAGAGGAAGGGAGAGGAGAAGAGAGAAACATCACTGATGAGAGAGAATCATGGATGGGCTGCCTCCTGCACGCTCCCTACTGGGGATCCATACCACAGCCCGGGCATGTGCCCTGACCGGAATCGAACCTGGGACCCTTCAGTCCCCAGGCCAAGCTCTATCCACCGAGCCAAACCAGCTAGGGCCAGCCAATCCTTCTTTTCATATGAACCAAACAAAGGTGTTTGCTACCTTGCCCTCTTCATCTCTCCTCTCTATCACTTCCTATCGGTCTCGCAACCCGGAGGGAACCTGGGTTTGCTCTCTGTGTCTTTCTACTTAAGGAACATTTTCCTGAGAAACATCCAACATGGGCTCCCGGGCCCAGAGTGTCCACTGGCCTCTCAGTCCCCACAGCTCCTCCCTGCTCCCGGCTGTAACTGCGGGATCCAAGGAGACAGCACCTTCAGCGGAGCCGGGTCAGGCCCGGGGCTTTCTCCCCCTGGATGTGCAGCAGCAGCTCAGGCCAGGGAGCGAGAGGAACGGGAACCTGGCCAGTGTCCGCAGTCCTTCTGCTCCCACAGCGTCTCCCCACCCACACCTGGTCTCCACAGATGGCCCAGAAACTGGGAGGCAAAATGACAGCCCATGGCAACATCTGGCCATCGCTAGTAGTCTTATATATATATGTATGTATTTGAGAGAGAAAGAGAGAGAGGGAGAGAGAGATAGAAACACCAATGACGAGAGAATCATTGATCCTGCACACCCTCCAGTGGGGACGGAACCTACAACCTGGGCATGTACCCTGACCGGTCATCGAACCTCCACCTCCAGGTTCATAGGTTGAAGCTCAACCACTGAGCCACACCAGCTGGGCCTTCATCTCATCAATCATTTTCATTCTGCTTACAGTGTCAGAGAGGTGCAGACTTTGCCACTCTATCCACGGCCACCCTTGGGGATCCACCATCAGGCTCCCCTATCCAGTCTAAGTAATCCGCCTGCAGACGAGGAGGCCGAGAGGAGAGTCACACCCCAGGGAGAGTCTCTCCTGCTCCAGAGCCACAGGAGAAATAAAGCCCACGGAGCTAAAAACCAATCTTAAGGAAATGGGGCTGGACACAGGGCAGGCTCTGCACCTCAGAGCCTCACCCGCTGTCTCTGCGGCTTGTCTGACTGCGCAGAAGGCAGTCATCTACTTGCTGACACTTATCAGACAGCCTGGCATAAGCTCCAGAGCTTATCCTAAGTGGGAGCAGCATCCGACAGTCACCCCAGCTTCTCCCGCCTTTTCTAGGGCAACACTGATTTCTCACAGGAAGGTGTAAGCTTCCAGTCTATTTTTTTAAGCAGAAAACACTGACTCGTTCCAGAACACACACCTTCTAGCCCATCCCCACCTTGGGACTGAACTCTCAGAACTGTTGAGACGTCATCAGGCTCAGTGTCACCCGGGCGAAGCTACAAGGTCTCTCCCGTCCTCAGCACTGTCCCACCACCGCGTTCACCCAGGAAAAAATCCAGTGAGCACCCCTCAGATTGAGTGCTCCCAGGGGAGACCTGTTCCTGTCCTCACCCACAGATGGCCGGGCGTGGGCCCCGAGACATAAAGAGATCCCTGAACCCTCCCTCTCTGAGCCGGACCCCTCCACTCACAACTCTCATGCCCGCTCTGCCCCAGGGAAGCCTGACGTGGGGTGGCAGAGCCTCCAGGCCACACCGAGTCCACACAGAAGCCCGTGCCTGCCCCCACTTGCCCCTGTCCCCTGGCAGCCCCACCACTCACCTTCCACAGCGCGCAGCGCCAGGCAGCAGAGCCCCAGGAGGGCGAGCAGCAGAGGCCTCATGCTGGTGAAGAGTGAGCAGAACCTGAGGAGGATGAGCCCAGGCTGCTCGCGGGTCTCTTTTATCCCCGGGGTCAGCGCTTCCTGTGCAGGAGGGGGCTTCCAGGTGGGCGGGCCATCGCGGAAAGTCTGGGCAGCACTGAGGCTTTTCTGAAAGTTCCCCTGTCACAGTCCCCCCCACCCTGTGGCCTCCCCTCTTCACCTGTGGTTAACGCGTCAATGAAAGCAAGTGTGCGCTTAGAACAATCCGGTGGCCGCACCTCCTGCCCCAGCCTCCACTCAGATCTTCCGCTGTCCCCGCGGCCTGGCCCGTGTCCCTGACCCGGCGTGCGCACAGCGGAAAGGAAAGGTGGTCCGTGGTCGGGTTCCCACCTGCCTCCCGGGACACCCTGTGACATGGCTTCTGCCATCCACGGGGACTCCGGAGGGGAGGCCACGGCTGCCCCTCGGAGCTCTCACTCCTCTGCCTTCTCTTTCTCCTCACCCCCGACCCCAGACCCTATTCCGGTGACCCCACTTCTTCACACCACCCGCCCAGGGACTCGGGACATTTCAGCCACGGCGCTGGGAGCGTGTCTAGGGCACCTCCCTTTATGGCAACGGAGTATCCACCTTTTTACAGTTTCTGAAAGTTGTCCTGACATGAACATCGTTTTGGAAAGGAAGAGAGAACAAAATTGACCATGCTGGCATTTTCCGTTCTTTATGTTTTCCATGGAGTCTCTATTGGTGTCCATCTGCTTGCAGAGTTGCAACAATTGTAAGCACTGTTTTACCGTCAAGGTAACTCTCTTCCATGTTTCCATCACAGACACGTTGAAACACTCCCCTTAGCTTATTCCTGTAGACTCGTCTCTATGGGATCTTTCACTTTCACTAAGGACCCTGAGTCATTTCCCATAGCCACCAGGACCAGGATACTGAGCAAAACCATCCGCTCAGCTCCACAGACTTGGGGTCCCCCCGCAGGTGCAGGGACCCAACAAGCAATGCCTCCAGCAGGGCTTGGGATCAGCACTCAATACATCCTTGTTTTCGTCTAGTCTGGTTTTGCACAAGTATGGATAAGATGTACTACTTAGTTACATGTGTCGCTAAACGAGTGTCCCATTGCTATTAGGGAGAGTAAAATAAGTTCCAACATTTCCCTGAAAAGGACAGGTTAATGGCTGAGACTTCTCATTCATGGAATTTAATTCCAGCCAGACTTCCTTCGGCACCCACAGCAGCTGTGAGTTCTCTCCCAGGGACAGCTCTCCCTGACATGGGGCAATGGCTCTTCCCTCCACGTTCCAAGGACAGATACCCAGAGTCCCCTTAGCCGCGCTGCGCCTGCACCCACACGCTGCTCTCAGCCCTGTGCTGAGTACACCTGCTAACTGCTCTTCGGTGTGTCTCCTCCTCTCTTCCCACCCTGCTCTGGGCAGGCCCTCATCACCCTGTGCTGAGACCAGCGCAGTAGACAAACTGGGGTCCCATTCCCAGTGATGGGGGAAATGAGACATTCTGGGGGTCTAGCAATCTGAACTGGGCCATTAACCTAATACACATTCTTCTTAGCCTATCGTCTGTCTCTGCCCCTTTAATTGTCTGGTCCTCCCATTCCAGAGAGACCATGAACCATCCCCAGACGGAGTTATCAGTGCTGGTGCCAGGCCAGGCCTTTAGTTGTGGTCTCAAGACGCCAGCACATGGGGCTCTTTAAGAACTTGCAAAGGGGACCAGAAAACCCTAATTTGGGAAACAAAGAACTGGAAAAACTATAAATAGGGAAAGCTTCCTCCATGCTTTTTGCCCAGAATGTAAAAGACATTTTTCTCTGAGCCCGCATGTAATAATAATTCAGTGTAACTTCGTTTCTCTAAGCGTTGCTTGGTTTTCTCCGGTTTTCTGTAACACAGGTCACCTCCCTGTCTCATCTGCTCTCCAAACACCGCCCAGGAGTCCCTCCACAGCCTTCACGGAGGAGTGCTGCTCCTGCTGGGAACCTCTTGGTCAGTTCCCATTGTCCACGCTCTCATGTCCAGACTCTCCCTGTCAGACACCAGGCTATTCAAGAGCTGACCCCCCTCCACCTCTCAGACTCACTCAGCCCCACCACCCACCTGCCTGCTCCCAGGCCTGCACCTCAGCTGATGTGGGTGAAGTCAACCAGACATGCCATCCTCCTCACTCCCACGTGCGGCTTCCTTCACCTAAAGGCCATCCCAGCTCCCGACGTGACTACAAACTGCTCCACTTTGCACGAGCATCCCGACAAAAGGAAGCTGTGCCATCCTCTGGCCCAGGGCCCTTGGTCTCACCTTTGTCCTATCACTAACTCATCCGACTCCCCCGGGATCTCATTCCCTCGTCACCTACAGAAGGGCACCCGCTGAACGGGCAGCGTGCCCGCGCCCTCCTAGTCCCAGCACGAACCAAAGGTCTGCTATGGAGTCCTCTCTCCCCAGACCATTTCCGAACAAGCGAGTTCTTCCTGAAGGGCCAGGACCTGGTGACGGAGCACTAAGTGAAGGGGGACTGTCTACAAACATTAACCCCAGAATGGTGCCTGTGGCTCTCCCTTAGTTTTTCAGTCCAACTGACGGTCTGACCAGTGGCTCCCTTTATACGTTGGCATCTTGAAATGCAATCTCTCCAGCCCCTGGGCGGCAGGCCTCACTTTCGGTTTTCAGAGCGTGACTAGAGTCTGGCGGAGAAGAACTAAGTCAGAGACAAGAAAGCAGAAACCCACTTAAACACGGGCATGACCGGCCAATGTGCGGGCACGGGCTGAGGATGTTAGTCAGAACAATGTCTCCCACCCCTGACTCCCCTCTTTCTCTTACAAGCCACATCCAACCAGCCAGCAAACACCCTTGGCTCTTTCTGTCCTCAAATAGAACCTAAAGTCTTCTCACCTCTGCAACACTTCTGACTGCAAGCCTTCCCCGCTTCCGGGCCCCCTCTCCCCCACTGCCCCCGCCCTCACCTGAGTGGGCAGATTCCTGCCACAGCCTCTCCTGACTTCCTGCTCCATTCTCCTCTGTCGGCCAGCTCACCAACCTGCCAAGGTGGCCATTTCAACTGTAAGTCATAGCATGTCCCTTCTCTGCTCAAAGTCTTCCAATACCTCCCCATTTTTGTCTACTAACTCCAAAGTCCCCCTCTGGTTTATTAAGATACTAGAGGCCCGATGTACAAAATTCACGCAAGAGTAGGCCTTCCTTCCTCTGGCTGTGGGCACCAACTTCCCTCTGGCACCCGAGACCATGGCTGATTCCCTCCAGCCCCAGCTTCAACAGAAAGACATCTGGAATGATGTGCAGAAGACACCCTGTCTAATTAGCATATTACCCTTTTATTATTATAGACTAGAGGCCCAGTGCATGAAATTCATGCACATGGGGGGTGTCCTCCAGCCCAGCTTATACCCCGTAGGATTGGGCCTAATCGGGCAGTTGGACATCCCTCTCACAATCCAGGACTGCTGGCTCCTAACTACTTGCCTGCCTGCCTTCCTGATTGCCCCTAACCACTTCTGCCTGCCAGTTTGATCACCCCCTAGCCACTCCACTGCCAGCCTGATTGATGCCTAATTGCCCTTTCTTGCCGACCTGGTCACCCCTAACTGCCCTGCCCTGTCAGCCTGCTCACCCCTAACTGCCCTCCCCTGCAGGCCTGGGTCTCTCCCAACTGCCCTCCCCTGTTGGCCATCTTGTGGAGACCATCTTCTGTCCACATGGGGGCAGCCATCTTGTATGTTGGAGTGATGCTCAATTTGCATATCACTCTTTTATTAGATAGGATAAATAATTGACATAAAACATTGTGTAAGTTAAAGGAGTTGGACATTATCATTTGATACTCATGTATTTTGCAAAACTATTAACACAATGAGGTTAATTAATACCTCCATCACCTCACATAATTACCTCTTTGTGTGTGTGGTGAGCACATTTAAGATCTCCTCTCTTCCTAAAGTTCATGCATGTAACACAGGACTTACTGATCCCCAGCTATCTATCTCACATTAGCCAATTGTGCCCTTTGACCAACATTTCCGCACTCCTCCCCTCCCCAAACCCTGACTGACAACTTCCATTCTCTCTAGACAATTTGTTTCACTTCAGTGGATTCTACCTCTGGGATGCCATACAGTGTCTTTCTCTGCTCTGCCTTAATTCACTTAGCATGATGCCCTCAAGGACGAGGCCCTCTCTTTTTATTGCATGAAATTCCATTGTCCACACACCACAGTTCCTCCCCGTCAGTCGGTGGACCCTCAGGCTGTCTCCCTGTCTTGGCTGTGGTGACTGGTGTTGCCGTGAGCACGGAGGTGCTGCTGTCTCATGATAGTGACTTCATTTCCTTTGCCCACGTGCCCAGGAGAGTGCTGTTTCCCCGTGGCTGCACCAAATTACACCCCCACAGTGCACAGGTCTCCTTTCACCACGTATTTGCCAACTCTCATCTCTCCCCTGCTTGATAACAACCTTACTAACAGGTGTGGGTGTTATTTCACTGTGGTTTGGTTTTCATTCTTCGCCTGATTAGTGATGCTGTGGAGGTGCCTGTTCAGGTCCTCTGTCTATTTTTACTGGATTGTTGTTGTTGTTTTGTTATTAATGTTATATATTAAAAGTATATAATTAGGCCTAGCTGGTAGAGCATTGGTCTGGGGACTGAAGAATCCTGAGTTTGATTCCAGCCAAGGTCATATGCCCAGGTTGTAGGCTCAACCCCCAATAGGGAGTGTGCAGGAGGCAACTGATCAATGATTCTCTCTCATCATTAATGTTTCTATCTCTCTCTCCCTCTCCCTTACTTACTCTCTAAAATCAATAATAATAAAAAAAGTTAAAATAAATAAGTACAATCATTTTATTTATATATAGATGATAGATAGATAGATAGATAGATAGATAGATAGATAGATAGATAGATAGATAGATCCTCACCTGAGGATATGTTTAGAGAGAGGAAGGAAGAAGAGAGAGAGAGAGAGAGAGAGAGACATTGAT